GTGCATGCGTATTTGGTGGTATTTGGCGATGACAACAGTAGATTATCATCTCGAACTGTATTCAACATATGCAGCATGGGCTGGTGCATGACTGGCAATTAAGCTTGTCCACGATGATATGAAGCCATACCCTTTCAAACGGCCTTGCCTCTCGAATGACATTCTCATTCATCGTGGCCAAGACGTTAATGTTGATCTCCCTTGGTTCTGCTCAGTCCCTCTAGTGAGATGCAACGCCGTGACGTTCAAGGCAAGTAAGGACTTTACTAGTTCACGTGTATGGTGGGCTTTTCCATGAGGCAACTTAGCCGGTGGCATGGCAACCTTCCCGAAAGAAAGAAGAGTAAAACGTGGTTGCTTGCAATGGCGAGCAGAAACTGGCCGCTGTGACGATCCCAGTAAACTGTGACATGCAAGTGGCCTATCATGCCCTGCATATCCTTTGACCCATTGGCCCACTTGCCGGTGTGGCGTGTTGCCAAGACTGCGAAACTAGGCGGTGTGCTAGTTGGGCTCAATTCCGGTTGCGTGGGCTTGTTACAATCGGACACGGTCGAGACGGCAGTCCAGTCAATTCGGAATGGCAATGTCTTGTGTGGGACGAGGCCAAATGAGATCACATGGCATCGTTGGACCTACTCATGTCATTGTGGAAAGGACGGTCACGTAGTCAAGCGTCCAATTGTGTGACGTGGGATGAATACAGTTACGCTGGCTAGTCTGCGTACTAAATTGATGGCGCGAAACCGACCTAAATCTGCCGTTGCGTGATCATGTAGTGATGAGGAAATGAGTAAAATGCGGACCGGAAAACGGAGTAAAGAAGATGTAAACACAAGCCAAACAAACACTCTAATTTCTTGTAGCTCGATCGGCCCAGAGGAAAGGAGCAAGAGCGAGAGATTGAGCTGGTGCGTGGGGAAAGAGATGCATGCTATGAAGAAATGGGAAAGAAACAGGTCAGTTGCAATACGCTCAAAAAGCTCTCTCGCCCCTACTTTAAAGGACATGTGGCCGTCACTGAAAGACTGGTCAAGTTCAATTGGGGTTTGTTTGTTTTTCGAGAAGTTCAATGAAATCCTATGGCGTTTACAATAACTTATTTAATACTACTTAAACAGACTCCCGACTGATATTTGAAGTTTGATGCAAAAACGAATCCTGTTCCGACAGTCTATTTGAAGATGACCCACCTTTGGATAGTTGACTACTGTTCGATTGAGGCTAAATCGATTTGGCTTTTCACGTCGACCATATACCCATTACTAGTAGAGTCAACTACAAGCCCAGACTTCACCCGATCGCGTCGCCATGGTTAATCGTTAAATCAAATGTCTATTTCAGTTGCTAGGCCGACACGTCCGAGCGGAGTGTCACCAATCCGGCACTTGGTAAGAGCCAGTGCAAGAAGGAGGTCAACTTTCCACGTATTGGTCAGTTGCCAGACGCTCAAGGCCAGTGTTGCCTCTATTCTATATTGTCGATTGACAGACGGGCTGCAGCGTAATTTCAGTTCATCGTCTACGTACTACTTGCCATAATAATTCAAGTAACGCTGCACAAAGCAGAGGGCTCAACATTCTTTTCAAGTTTCCAGGCCTAAGTAATGTGGCCCCGGTGAAATGCATTTTCAGCGGCGGCCTGATTGGCGGAATCTGCATGGCAAAGCAAACTGACAGGCTTGCTTCCATTGGCTAGACTGCTCGTTGCATCTAGCCCGGCTAATCGATACAGTCGGCCGTCAAATCCGGTGCAGACGTTGATGTTTCTGCGCCGAGTAGGCGGGACGATAGAGTGCGTACGCTGCGGACCGTTGTTCAAGGCAAATCGGACAGGGCAGCAATGAAGCGAATGCGATGGTGACGGGGCCTGCATAGAGCTGTGTTGTGCATTGTTCGTGTGTCGCGAGCGTGCAAACAGACGACATGCAGCCAGACGGCATGCCTAATACGTCGGCCATGTTGGCTGAGTTGGCGCAGTTTGATGTGGCCGTCTGGCCAGGAGGGAGGCGGAAGAAAAGAGGCAGGAGGAGGCCGACAAGACGATCGATGGGCAGATGAATGAGTTGACAGACTGCAAGAGATGTGTGCATGTGGCCGGGGCGATGTAGGGAATGACTGGACGTAGATGGACTGGCCAAGGGATAGAGGAGTAAATGGATTACCGTCACGCATACAAGTAGGAGATGAGTGAGCATTACGTCAAGTGAAGACTGGTAGAGGAGTGTTGAGCAAGTGGGGCTGATTCGGAACAATTCGCTATGCGGGGCTGTATTCACACTACTTTTTCAGGCTTCGGGTTTCCACTGCAGTGTGCACAAACACACACACACACACACACACACACACACACAAGCACACGTTTTGCTTCGTGAAAGGTGGCCTCATTCAAAGGGTCGAGTGGGCTACAGTTTTGCAGGAATCGGGATCGAAGCGCTGACGAGACGAATTCAGGTGGCGTCGAAACAACAGTGCGCTCTGGCGTGGAGGCGATAGCTCTTTGGAAGCAATTCAGTGCAAACGTGAGGCCTACTCATAGGCTTGTGTGCAAATTCGACTAGCAGCCGAAACGAAATGGCCCGAATACAGCCATTCACGCTTGAGTGTCGTGAGTTGCGAAAGTGGCTCTCGAAGGTGGCCTGGATACTTTGGCGGTAGCGTAGCGTTCATTTCGCGTTCATTTCGCGTTCATTTCGC